GAGCTGGTATATAAATCGTTGCTTAGTCATCTGGAACATAATGTGGCCCTTCCCCACCTCCCTCTCCCCTGGCTCCCACCCCCTCCCATCCAGCTCTGCCTGCTGGCTTCACAGGTCTGAAACAACTGCCTTGAGAGTCCCTTCAATAATAAATGGAATTGCCTTCTGCCTATAGGTTGCCTGAACTCACACAAAAGCTGGCGTGGAGGGGGATGGGGCAGTGGGAGGCATTGCAACTATTGATACATCATTATAAAGAAGTCGCAGTGCTTTTCAATTGTGCCTCTTTCAAGAAACATGCTGCTTTTGCCTTTTTTCGCCCCCCCAGAGGGAGCAAAGATACAATTGTTGATCTGAGTACTGCCCCCCGAAGGAGAAGTTCATAAGTGGGCTTTCGAGGTTCCAGGAACCATTAAAGCCCTTTAGGGTTGAAATGTTTTACATCAAATTTCAATGTAGCAATCCTACTTTTTCTTTATCCTTACAAAAGAGGAAAATGAGGTGAGCTTTAAGTGGGAAGTGTTCTGCCAGAAAAAAAATGCCCTTACTTGTTTTCTGTGCTCCTATTCTCAATTCAATAAATCTGTGAATGAGTGAAATGGGATAGGCTCTTAATACATAATACAAATTAATCATATCAATCATCATGCTCCGCTGTACATATCCCAATCATCATTCTATTTAGCACACAACACTAGCTTCTCACTCGCCAGCAGCGGATAACCCCCCTGAGGCTAACGCTGAGTCTGTCTTTCCCGAAGCTCTGTCACTATTACAGGGCACGTCGCCAGGCCCAGTGAGGACTCCGGGGCGGGGGGGGGGGCAGTTGTCCAATTGATAACAGAAAGAATGTCCATCAAATGATCTGTTTTTCCATTCCTAGCCACACGAGAGCACTTTGTCACATGGAACACCATAGTCAGGAGCTGGGGCTCTGGAATCAGACTGGATGGGTTCAAGTTCAACTCTACCACCAACCGGATTGTGACTTTGGGCAAGTCTCTTAGCCTCTTTCAACCTCTGTGACTTCCTTCCTTGACCCAGCAAGAGATGGAAACACACTGACTGTCAGCCCTGACTAGGTTATCTCATTATTGTATTGTGATCATGTGTTCATGGCTCTTGACTTTGAACCAAAAAGGGAGAAGCGCCCAAACTCAAAATGGGGCCAGTCATATGTAAAGCTGCCCATGAGTCAGAGAACGGCTGCCTTCCAGGGAAGGAATACAAAAAGGCAGCAGACTGGGTTGGTATGCTCCCACCCCAAACCACATGCTTCCTAGAGTAGGCCCGGATGACGGTCGGTAGGGCAGCAACGCCCAGTAGGACAAATAAGACATATCAAAGAGCCACATATCTGCCAGTGCCTACCTCAGCCTATGAGACTCTGCTCGGGAATCCTGCAAACACCCGATCCCAAAGCTGTGATAAAACCAAGAGCAGACTCTGACAGCTACTCACTCTTCAATATTTCTGAGCTGGACTTTTTTCTCTTCCGAAATGGGAAAATAGCAAATAATTGACAGGGATAGAATAAGGACTCCATCGCATGTCTTTGGAAGTGCTTTGAGGGAGTTAAAGAGTAGACAAAATCAATGTCATAGCAACGGCCGCAGAACCCTGGACCCAATACATTTGTTAGGCCTTCCTCTTCCATGCCCACTTAAAGGAGCTTCACTGATTAAAGCACCAACTCCCTGCAAGGGGCCCAGAGTGCTATTATCAAATGAAAGCAGATGTCCTGAGGAAGAGCTGCATGATAAGTAATTTGAGTTGGGGGAAAGATTTATTACCCAAATCATGAATAAACAGAACAGTAAACCCCTGAAAAAAAATATATACTTTGCTTTTTCTTAATTACCTCTCTGATATATATATATACTCTTTAGAATGCCCAAGATTCAACTTGGTATTTTTTTTTTTAATGCTTAGGCAAAAATTTTTACTAAAACTATTCCATCAGTCACAACAGCCACTACTTTGGCAAATTATCAGGCACTCAAAATCCCCCAAATTGCTGCAACGCTAACTAGAAATTGTTACTGTATTTTGAAATCTTTCAGAACATTACGAATTTCCTGGATGACTTATTTTCCTTTATTTACTTTGAAAGTCCAAAAGAACAGGACTCAGTCGAGATATATAGCCTGTTATATGCCTACACTGTGCGGCAGATACGGTTATTTAACAGAGGACCAAAGCCTAGAGGATTTCGGCCTTTTGTACCACGGGTGCCATAATGAAGTGGTGAAAATTGAAAAGGAACGAGGAGAAAAGAAATGCAGTACAAATAATACAGTAGAGAAAGTTTTAAAATATGTATTACTGCTGTCTGTGGGGAACACACCTCTTTGGATATGTTCTTGACAGATTGAGTTATTTCTGTCTGTTGGGTATGTATAAAGACATATTTATGGATTTATAAATCTTTTGAAGAGGGTTGTTATTTACCCAGTTGACTAAAATGGACTCAAACTGTGTAAATAACTGTTTAGGACATGCACTACGGGCCAAATGCTGGCACGGCTTCCACACCCGTGCCTGCCAGAAAAGGCAGACAGGGAAAACATGGAAAAGCCACTGTGCACAGTTAATCCGCAGGCTGCACTGAGGCCCGGCTCCACAGGTCTCGGGGATGAAAAAAAGATTTAGAAGGGTCATGGTTGGCATGGAAATGTACATAAGTTGTTGCAGCAACACTTCTAGGCGTCGTTCTGCATTTAGCAAGGAATAAATCACACTGCCAAAGACAGCCCATGGGGAGGGCTGAAGGTGGGACTCCTGACACCTGTATTATCAAGCAGGTGGGGGAGAGGGAGGGGAAGTCAGGAGGGAACGTTTCTATTTGACCTTGGTGGAGGGAACTGACGCTAGTTCTTTGGTGGAGAACCAGGGAAGGAGAGCACGAAGACACGAATCTTCGACAAATAATCAGGAAACCAAAATTTTAGGTCTGACACCGCACGGGGACCTCAACAAATTCTTCGGCTCACCCATAACCTTTCCCCCTCATCTGTCCAGTGGGGCTGGACCTGTTTTATCTGCCACCCAAGACTGTTTCAGAAAGGGTCAACTGAGACCATTCCAAGGAGATGATGTATGTAAAAAATGCTTTAAAAAAAACCGAGGTGGTGGTCTTTTATGAAAATGATAATGAGAAACAATGTAAGTGGAATGTCAAGGATCTCTGGCTCTTGGTCACAATCAAGTTCATCACCAAATGGGCCTTTGGAGAGCACTGCTGAAGGGAAAAGGGACATGCAAAACTCCCAGCTCCTTGTTATGACGTGTCAGCGGGGAAGACTCGGGTGGGGCATGTGCCCTCTGAAAACCTTTTTATCGGATTGTGTTGAAGGGAACGTAGTCTGTTATAACTTTAAATTCAAGCACTTGTTAGCTGTTCCCAAGCCTTCAATGCAGCAGCAGCTCGACTACCTGCGTGCTCGTGGATGACAGATCTTTGAACAGCCAGAAGTGAAGACAGAAAAAGAAACCCAAATGAAAGCACTGGGCTATGACCCCGTGTAGCAATTTTGGAGAACAGGAGAAAGAACTGCGACTCCATCCCCACCTTTTGGGGGGCACCTGGTATAAGATGAATTCTGAAAGCAGGGCTCTCTGTGGCCAGTGCTGTCTCTCGCACTGTGAGCCACGGCACCACAACATGCAGACACATACCCCCTTCACGCCCCCCCCCCCCAG